ATTTCCCTGTTGAGCTGACGCTCTGCTGTTTTCATCCAGGGTTCGTACAAGGTGCTTAAAGTGCTTGAAGCACTTGAATTTGTCTTTTTGAAATTTAAGTCCTGGAAAACCCTTGAAAACAGACATATTTATTAAAAAGGTATAAAGTATATCAGTATAAAGTTGAGTTAGTGGTCAAATCTTTGATAGTGCTTGCATTATATTGTTCGGTCTTTTATTGCATGTGCTGTTTGTTTGGGTTTCATTTGGGAACGCATATAAAGTCTGACGCGCTTTGTGTTGCACTGTTATCATTTACAAACGTGGAGCACGTCTCCATCTCAGCAGCTCCGTCGACAAGATGCTTAACATTTATCTGGGAAAACTGTATGCTATCTCACTAGATTTATAAAGTAAATCATTTAGAAACCTGTGCCAGCACAAGAGAATATTTCTACATGCGATTTGTTGTACATCTCGATTTCAAAATAAATGTTTAAACCCTTGCATGTGACCAAATTTTAAAATTATATGGATTTAAACGTTGTTGAATCACGCTGTAAAGTGAAGTATCGCCAGGCCGTTGGCACCCTCTGCAGGTATTTGTTATAATACTTAATGTACTTAAGCTGGTTAGGTTCATATTATGTATAGGCATACTACTTTATTTAAAATATTTTAACAGTGTTGTTCAATAAAGCCATGTGATTACTTGGTTTTGAGATTTTATTTGAACCAATTATTATTGTCTCATCGTTAGTGTAATATATATAAATGTAGTAAAGCCTGTTTTTCACTTAGGTCTACAAAGCCATGTGATTACTTGGTTTTGAGATTTTATTTGAACCAATTGTTATTGTCTCATCGTTAGTGTAATATATATAAATGTAGTAAAGCCTGTTTTTCACTTAGGTCTATTTTTATTACTAAAAAATATCAGATTACTTGATTACCAAAATAATTGTTAGTTACGGCTCTAGGTTAGTTCAAATATTTCAAAATACAACTACATTGTTTTGTGGAGCTCAGCGTCTCTAAACTATAGTGAGCCCTTTTACATTACTATAAGGTTACAATTAACAACAGAGCACAAACTTAAATTCAACTACTATTTATTTTTAACTATAAAAATCAACACTCAATGTATTTAAACATGTAAATTGCACATAATGCAGTTTTTAAATTAACTTCTAATTTATACAATTTCAATTTGTTGTTGAACTATAATAATTTACAGAGTGGCTGTCATAACTTGCTTCATAAAAGATTTATTTAAACATAGCCTACATTAAATAGCCTAATTAAGATATCACTTACAGGTAAAGTGAAATATATCGTCTAATATTTCGCAAAATGCTCTTCACTAGACATTCTGAGGTGAATGAAATGCTACGTGACATTTTGTTTACAAGCTGTTTTAATGACGTCTTTCCGCAGTTGAAACACTAGTGATTACGTGAGGGGTGAGATGTTCATTCATGGTATATTTCACGTTAAAACTAGTAATAAAGATTTTCGATAGTTGAAATAGTTGAAAATTTTCGGTATGAATACGTGTACCGTTACACCCCTAATATATACAGTAGATATATATATATATATATATATAGAACATAGAAAAAAATGATTAAATAAAAAAATGTATAGTATTATTTTATTGGTTGTATTTTAATTATTTGCTTATTTATATTTTATTTTATTTTTCTTTGGAGGGTTACAGTTAGATAAGTCTGTATATTTCTATCTTCATATAAAAACAAATTAACTGTATTGTAGGTTGTACATACTTTGTGAAGTTTGTGTATTTGCGCATTTTTAGAGTATTTTATTAAATATTATATTTTTATTTACTGTATTTTTGTATTTTATTTATTTTGATGTTTCTTTAACATTTTTTCTGTTTATTTTATTTTTAAGTCATATAATTGTCTTCACATAAAAGCACATGAACTGTATTGTAGATTGTACATACATTATGAAGTGTGTGTGTGT